ACTGATTTATTTTTGAGACAGGGTATCACTATGTAGTTCAAGCTAGCCTTGAACTCACAGGGATCCTCCAGCCCCAGCCTCCAGAGTGCTAGGGTTACATACCCATCCAGCAAGCCAATTATTAAGACATATTGTTTTCAATTTAAAAATTTCTAGCTGGGTGTGGTGGCGCACCTGTGACCCCAGCACTCAGGAGGCTGAGGTGGGAAGCTGAGGTAGGAGGATCACAGGCCAGCCTGGGTTCCATAGTGAGCTGCATAGTGAGACCCCGTCTCAAAAAAACCAAAACAAAACAAACTGAAACCAGATGGCAGTTTTAATAGTTGTCACCACCACCTAAGACAAGGTGGCAGCACCCCTATAAACCTCATCAACCTGTACACTTGACACCCTAAGAAAACCATCACACAGGAGTAACAGTGGGTCAGAATTCGCACAATAAAGTACTGTTCAGCTGTGCTGAAATGACTTAGCTTTGGGATATTTGCGGACCCATTGAAGTGGATTGTCAGCCATTTACATTAGCATCAATGCAGCAGGTATCACTGCAGGTGGCTTCACGTGAACGAATAAAAGTTAAATGATATTGGAAAAAAATAGCACAAAGGATGATATATAGAAAAAACATGGGCAAAACTGAATTGAAAAGTACTCAGTAAAAAAAAAAACTCAGTAAAGCACGGCCTGGAATATTAAAAAGTTCAACAAGCACTTTATTTTTAAATGCATTAGAATATGCAAATATTATTTTTTAAAGTCTAAGTAAGTCAAAGTGTTTTCAATAAGAATAAAATATAAAGTCCAAATGATAAGGAAGCATCATTGTTTACTTGACAGTGTCTTTCCCTTCTTGGTGATACATAAAAGAATTAGCAGCATCTAAGATTTGATGAAATATGTATAGTAATTCAGCAGTTACATCTTCTTAGAAAGCCTGATAAGGGCTGGGGATTTAGCCCACTGGTTGTCACCTGCCTCCCAAGAGCAAGGACCTGAGTTTCATTCCCTGTACAAAAAAAAAAAAAAAAAAAAAAAAAAAAAAAAAGCTTGATAAAATGGGCATGGTGGCACATGCTTGTAATTCCAGTGCTCAGAAGGCTGAGGCAGGAAAATCACTGGGAATTTGAGGCCAGCCTGAGCTACATAGTGAGATCAAGGCCACCCTGGACTGCATAGCACAACCCTGTCTCAAAAACCCAAAAGAAAGCTTGATAAAACTACCTTCCAGGCAAACTGAAGGCTTAAATAATAGAACAAAAAAACAAAAAACAAAAGCATTCTTCCATAAAAAATAACACAATTTTTGTATTATGTTAATAAAAAGACTATTTTTCTAATCTTTAAAGTTTTATGTAAAAAGTAAAAACTTGGGCCGGGAATTTAGCTCAGTGGTTCCACTGCCTGCCTTGAAAGCACAAGGTCCCGAATTCGATGGAGGGGAGGGAGAGCAAAATAAAAGCTTTTCTTTTTTTTGGTACCAGGATTGAACTTGGGTCCTTGCGTTTGTGAGGCAGACAGTGGATCCACTGAGATAAATCTCCAGCCCAAAGCTTTTCTTAAGTTTTCTCCTTAAGCAACAGATTTTTCTGCTGGTGCCAAAGGTGGAGAAAGGAGAGTCAGGATGGGAACTTGCTGCAAGCAGAAATCTTCAGGATGATTTTAACCAAATTAATTCCTCCAAACTCCTTTTCTAAGACCCTGAGCTGTACCTGCTGCTGTAAAGAATAAGCACCAATAAACACAGGGTTGATTAAATGTTAAGTCTCATTTTAAAATCACATTTAGCCAAGCACGGTGGCAAGAACCTGTAATCTTAGCACTTGGGAGGCTGAGGCAGGACTACTGCCATGAGTTCAAGGCCAGTGTGGACTACATAGGTAGTTCAAGGCCAGCCTGAGCTACATAATGAGACCCTGCTCAAAAAAACAAATCAAACCAAACCAAAAAAACCCAAACATTTAAAAGAACTTACTGGTTCCAGGAATCTCCAACGAATATCTAACATAAAACTTACCTTTTTTTTAACATTTTTAAGCGCACAACTGAGTGGCAATGAGTTAGGAATGTTCTGCAACCACCACCACAATCCATTCCCAGAACTTTTGTCATCCCTAAAACTCTAAAAATCCACTGAACAAGATGCCTACCCTTGTAAACTGTTCTACTTCCTGTCCCCACAAATTTGTCTTAGTACTTTGTTTCTGAGGTGTCAAACAGTATTTATCCTCGTCTGATTTATTTCTCCAGTGGTACTTTGGTAAAACAAGGACAAATCCCTAATTATTAAGTTTTTCATAGTTTAACTGAAGACACTGACACAATCTGTGAACTAATCATGCAAATCTTCCAGAAATTCTGCTACTATTCTAAGAGTCACAAAGGCGGGTCTCAGCCTGACCCTTCCACAGCCTGTGGACTGCCTGATTAAACAGCTGTAACCGAAAGGTTCCTGAGAGCCTTTAAGGCAATAAACGGACAAGTGGCTGAGGAAATGGGGTATGGAGAGCTGTGCAGACCTGAAAAACCACAGGCAAGAAAAGTGAAGATGCATCATACTGCTTCGGCCTCGAGATGGGCCCCTCGCCTGCCCACCAGGCACTCTTGCACCCAGTAACTTGGTTAAGTCCGGCGATACCTGTCTAGAGTTGAGGCCAGACTGCGGTCACTGAGAATGACACCCCTACAGGGCGGCACGGAGTTTTACGGGATCATGAGTCATCTTCCATGGCTCAGAGGTCTTGTCCTGCAGGGACAAGGCAGACTTGTCCTGCCTTGCCTAGACAACCCCAGTTAGGAGAGAGAGCAACAAGACGAAGTTGGCAGAAAGCAAAACAGACCCACAGACCCACAGTCCCCGGCCACACACACACCAAAAAAAAGCTGGTGTCGCATTCAGGCTGAAAGAGAGGAAGGACTGAGTGACAAGAGGCTTGGGTCAACAGACACGGAAGGGAGAAAAACACAAGGTCCAAATATGCAGAAACATCTCGAGAGGCAAAGTGGAGAGAAATACCAGGTTGATGGGGAGGGGCACTGAAAAACAAAAACAGGTGACAAGTGATAGGGGCAGCTACACAGAGGCGACACACAGAGGGAAACGGAGACCAGCGAAGTCCAGGCACGGCCGTTCTCCTGGCCTCGGCTCGCCAGGCTTCTCGTCCGGTGTGGCACCCGCCCAGCACCCCAAAAAGGCCAACGGCCGGCCGGGGGCGGGATCTCTAAGCGCGGGGCCCGCCGAGTTCA